ACAACCTGCTCCTCAGGTTCAACTAATTTCCTAGGATAGGGTGCAGAACTTTTAAATACTTTACTATCATATAAAGTGATATGGATTCATTCATATTCACTCACTCATTCTTCATTAAAAATAGTATTATAAGGCATACAGATAGACACATAGAAAAAGTCTATAGGGCAAAGTACATGGGAAGGGGCATGGGGCTTCCACCCTCCAGGTACCTCCACCTGTTCATCTGAAAGCTCCACAAACCCAGTCTTTTTCAACAGAGGTTTCATTTTATAGGCACAATTGTTTACATCATTGATCACTGGTGATCGACTCAATCTTAAATTCTTTTCTCTTCCCTAGAGGTGGGGGTGGAGTTGAATGTTCCAACCCTCTAATTATATGGTTGAGTCTCCTGGCAACCAGCCTCCAGCCTGAGGGTTCCCAGGAACCTGCTAAGCTCCTCTCCATTTAAAAAAAAAAAAAAATGCTGTCATCACTTGGGAAATTATAAAGGTCTTAGGAGCTTTATCTCAGGAACTGGGAGCAAAGACCAGTCTGTCTCTCTGTCTGTGTGTATATGCATGCATGTGTGCGTATATGTATGTGTGTCCATATATACACATATATGTATGTATACATGTGTCTTAAGTCACTATATCATGCATTATAAACTTATTCGTATTCCCCCATTATGTATCTGTTCACTTCTTGTCTTTAGTGCTAGAACAGTGCAAGGCAGAGAATAGAATGCTCCCTTCCCCCAAAATAGTAGAGAGCTAAATTAATAAGTAAATATAGTATGAAAGAGATGGTTTACTTTGTATTATTTAGTCTCTGGCTTTTATTTCTTTTCAAATAATACAACAAGAATTCTGTGGTTTGTTGTACATTTGAGGTATCTGCTTAAGTGTTCATCTCCTGGAGAACTATGGTTGAATAATTCTATTCATAAGTAGGTCCTTTAAGGATTCAGTTGTTTACCATTCAATATTAATGGAGCCTATATACCAGGTTCTGTTTTAGGCACTGCACAGGAAAGGACAAACATTCCTCCCTCAAGGATATCACAGTCAAATGGAGAAAGGCATACAGGCAATAATTGCAGTTAATTGGGTAGAGGGCAACATAGAGATCTGTATAATATGCTGTGACAGTGGTAAAACGGGTCACTTACGACAGTGACACTGGCACTGGGTCTAGAAAGATAAGTAATAGAAATCATTTTTTTCTTCTTATAGTTTGCTTCTTTAAGCCCATATTCTAAAGGATCTTTGCCAACCCGACATGCATAATTCATTCCACATTGAGCAACTCAATGTACCTTAGGTACAATCAATAGGACAAGGAGGATATCCATAGTTAAGAAAAACAATAATACAATGTAATTATTTGTGGTAAGAGCTAGAAGGGAGAAATTTGAAGTAAGTATTGGAATACCGAATGTAGTTTGTCACACAAGAAAAGCTCCCTCAAGGAAATACTGTTTATTTGAGCATACATGAATTCATTCCCATCTGTTCTTAATTAAGATGAAGGACCGAAACGCAGTCCCATCATTTGCACTAGGTATAAACAAAGCTCTTAGCACCTGTGGGGTTTTTTGTTTGTTTTGTGATTTTTGTTTTTGGGGTTTTTTTTTGTTTTTTTTTGTTGTTGTTGTTGTTGTTTTGGGGGGGTTTTTTGGGCAGAGATGGGCTTTTCGAGAAGAGTAAGGACTGAGTTCTTAAGATCATTCAAATACTTTTACACAGCAGAATTTGTTAATTCCAAAGGATGTAATGCTGACTTGCATGGCTCCCTCTCTGCCAATACTAAGCCACCATCTCACTTGCAGCCCTCCTATGCCTAGCCTCCGTCTTGAACCTCCCCAGCCTTTCCTGGTGGTTTCTCTGCCCCCATAATAGCATGTTTTTCTACATATCTGCCCCATCTTTGCTAGGGCTGGTGCTCAACAGTGTCCTCCCACCCCAAGGAAGGCTCACCACTTATTTATGGTGTGACAGAGCTGCAAATCAGGACCTTCTGATCTAAAGACTAAGGATCATTTTATTGAGTTAAAAATTACCCTGGCTAAGATGTAATCATAATAAATGTATTGTGACACTAAATGTAACTACTGAAGTTTTTCAAACATCATTCTATCAGAGTAAATTGGTTTGTGACCATTATAATCATCTAAGCCTACAATTTAATGTCTATTTTTTTTTAAAGGTGTTTTTTCCCTCTCCTTTTCCCATATATGCTCTAACATCAGTTTGAACCAGCACTGTCTATCTTAAGGTCGTACCATCCAGATGAAGGAAGTCTCCAGGCCATGTATCAAGGAGAACTAGAAGGGCCTTACTGAGTTACTGGGATGTCAGGGGCCTGATTGTCTATATGACTTCGAGAATTCGCCAGACCACATAAAATGTCCAGTCCGCTTTTCTTTCCAAGTAAAATTCAAATGAACACTTGTGTGTGTGTGTGTGTGTGTGTGTGTGTGTGTGTGTTTTAAAGTAACTACCACACTCTAGTTTCTGGCTAAGTGGTAGGAGCAGAAATACAAATATTAATGTCCTTCCACAAAAAAGCTGAGTCTTGGGGGAATAAATTGACATTTTTCATGTTGTGGGGTAAAAACCATAAAAGAGGTCTGAATCACGTGCTCTCGGTGGAGGAGGCAAAAGGGCAACCTGTAAATAAGGACGGCATTTCATGAACGTATAAAAGCAGCAGAGTCCCCTAGTCATGAGGGGCATTTAGTATTAGGGATGACGCCTGGCTCTAGAGCAAACCTGGCTTCTGGAGAGGAGACACATCACCGTCTATTACTCATAAATCTGAGCTTCTTTTTTTTTTTTTTCCTTTTTTCTTTTTAAGAGAGATTTTTGCTATAGGGCGCACGCACTCACAGAGACAGACAGAAAGCAAGAAATCACCCCCCATGGGGAAAGGCCATGCCACAATCCCTTTTGGGATTTTGAACACACACACACTCGCACGCCTGGTGTGGTTTTAAGCTGCCAGTCTGGGACTCGAACCACAGCTGACTGCTTCAGAGTCCAGCAACATAACCATTATGCCATCTGCTTGTCCCACCTTAGCTTAATACTTCAGTCTTGGAATACAAGACAGACATCATCTGACTGATTTGGTGAGATCTTAGTGTGTGTGCATTCCTCAGGAGATTATGTACTCATAGATGACACAAGTGTTTTCTTCGTATTGAAATCTGCCTCACTGGGGATCCAGCTATTTACTGATGTAGCTAGTTACTGTTATTAAATCGACACTAGATGATGCTGTAACTATAACAACTTCAGCCTCTTACACAGCATATATTATGTTCCAGGTACTGTTCTAAGCAATATTCTCTCTCTCACATACGTACATATGTATGCATGTGCATGTGTATATATTTTATTAAACCTGTAAAGAGATATGATTATCCTGATTTTATAGACAACTGAGGTATGCAAAGGTTAAATAATGTGCCCAAATCATCAGAACTAGTAAGTCACAAACTTCAGCTGTAAAGTCAAGAAAGTCTGCCTTCAGAGTTCCTCTGAAATAGTGACTCGATAAAATATTTATCAAATTTGTCCTTAATATTGGAAGACACAGAAAACAAAACAGGTTAAATGCAGTATGCTTTAAATACTGAAAGACTCCAGTGATGTTCAAGTATGAGGTGGAATGTTATAGTAGAAATGTTATCGAACCATAGGGCACATTCTAGAGCTGCTCCAGACCCCATCTGACTGTGTGCAGCCAAATTCTGGAGTTCCTTATTTTCTTACCCATAAGACGGGAAAATAATTTGTAAATGATGCCAGTTTTGAGTTTTTGTACTCTAATTGCCATTTCCCATGTGCCTTTCATGTTACCATTTTTACCCATCTAAACAGACATTCCAAAATGCCCCAAGGAACATTAAGTATGGAAATTCTTAAAATACTAATAAATTTTCTCTAAAATGACAGGTCTATGTACAGAAAAGAATAAAATCTATAAGAACACTTTTTTTTTTCCTGAGACTAATGCTTAATTTAGAGTTAGGAAAATTAAAATGGGAAAGACAGAGTGAGAAATCCGGACGTTGGAATCTAGCTGATCTGGTACCAGTCCAGTGCCTGCCCCCGTGTGCCATTTGTATGCTTTGCAGAGTAAATTACTCTACCTTGCTGAACTTGTATTTCCTATTGATAAAAGAAGAAGGATAATTATACCCACAACAGGGATCTTGTTAATATGAGAAATACTATGCTAAAGTGCCTGACAACCAGTTTCAATAGATGAGGGGAGTTTTATTTATTTGTCATTGATGGGTCTTGATCTTCAGTTGTGGCAAGGAAGAGTTGGTTAAAATTTGCCTTGTATTAATTCCTTATTTGAAATGGAAATACTCTGTGTTGGGTACTATAAGAAAAAGGAAATAAAAGATGTAGTCCTTGCCGTCAAGGAAGTTCACAATATACACAAGGGCATTATGATTCATAAATAGTAATATATATTCATCCAAGATAATAAGAAAAAGATGCCAATAATAGAGAAGAGAGTCAACCAGTTCAGACCAGGAGAAATCTCTCAGGAAAACATGATCAAATAAGGATTTGTAATGTAAGTAATGGTAGTACTACCACATAATGAAGCAATACTTTATTGTGATGTGGGTATATAATGCCTTCTTTGGCACACTGGCTGTCCAGTTTATTACTCATCCTTGTAACTCATGCATCGAGTAAAAACATCCAATCCCAACATGAACTTTATCATAATCTATTATCTTATTATTCCAATTTGTGACTTTATATGTCCTTAGAATTTAATATTATCGCCTGGACTCTACCTGAAATTATTGCTCTAATTCTTTTGAAGTATTACATGCAAACTATGATCTAACTATCCATCTTTCCAACATGATGTTTCTTAAAAGGATTGTGGATCATCAAAAGTTATCTTTTAAAAAAGAAGCCACTGGTCTCTCTTATCAAACAGCTCTCCAACTTGATACTTTTTAAACATTTCTTCCCCAGATTTTTATTGGTGAGATATCCATGTATTTCATAAAGTCAACAAGGGAATCCCTGATTGCCCAGGAGAAAACAATTCTGACTGGAGAATGCTGCTACCTGAATCCCTTACTTCGAAGGATTGTGAGATTCATAGGTGAGTACAAGGGCATGCTCAACAAGACTCATGAATAGGTTGGACTTATTAAACTTATTAATAGTCAACATGCATGATAAAGTAAGCTATAGCACTATCAACTTTCAAACCAAGGGCTACTCTGGGGATTTTTCTAAGTACAAGAACTGGGCCTGATCCCAGTACCAAGTCACATTTTTGACCCTTGAAGTGAAGGTGATGCTTACTAAATTGTGCAAGAAAGATAGCAGGAGCACCAATAAAGTTCATTTCAAAATAATCAATTTTCTGGATAATGATTTCCCGTTCAGTTGTTTTCTTATATGTAGGGAATTTAACAAAGAGAAGGAAACCCTTCAAGATCTTGAAAATAGTGCCTCTCTAAAGTAGGAAAACAAATGTTTTTGTCAGCATTCCTAGGAAGGAGAAATGAAAGCATGGTCTATACCTTCATTTGTCCAGGACTTTTATAAAAACTCCTGGGCTCCTACAGACAATGATTATAGAAATGGAAATGAGTATGTATGGGCACAGGTAAATCTAGGAGAGTTCTTAAAATGATAACTATTCTAGCGTTCTAATGAGGGCTTGCAAATACCTGCTGACTGAATCCTTATGGGAGCCACATTAAAACTTCAAATGTAGGAACAAGGCTGATATTAAAACAAGCCAGGATATAATTTAGAACTGGTGACTGAAAGAGTGAGGACTGGGGCACAGTCTACTGACAACATTTCTGATAGCCTTCATCCTGTTTTTTTTTTTGTTTTTGTTTTTCCTATTGTAGGAAGAACTAAATTTGCTCAAGTCATGAACGAATAATCACATCAAAATAAATTATGCAGTAGCTTCTGATTGGAATAGGAATGAGGGAAGTAGTAAAGTTGGAAACCTAAGAAAATCTATTTTTAAAACAGCAACCCTTGGGACCAGCAGATGGCATAATGGTTATGTCACTGGACTCCCATATAGTCGGCCATAGTTCCAGTCACAGACCTGGTGACTTAAAACTCACACTGGGCACATGTGTGTGTGTGCCCAAAATCCTGGGAGGAGAGTGGAAGGGGAGGGATTGCAGCGTGGCCATTCTCCCCAGGGTGATTTCTCACTTTCTGTCTGTCTCACTGGTGAGTGCACACCCCCTATAGCAAAGATCTCTCATTTTAAAAAGAACAAATAAAAACTCCTGTTCACGTACTGCTCCTTCAGTCCAGAATATCCCATTGCCACCTCTTCACCATAAAAGCCAGCCAAGTCCCTCTCATCTTTCAGAAAACTTGAAACATTATCTACTTAATCCAGAAAACTAGCTGTCTTATCTTCAAGTCCCCTACTGAGTCTTCTCCTCCTTCTTTTTGTTTTTTGTTTGTTTGTTTGTTTTGTTTTGCTTTGAGAGATTTTTGCTATAGGGCATGTGCACTCTCAGAAGACACAAAGAGGAGAAAGTGAGAAATCAGTCCCTGGGGGGATGGCAATGCCACAGATCCCTTCTCCTCCAGACTCCTCTTGGGATTTTAGGCACATACAAACACATGCCAGACCTGAGTTTTAAGCTGCTGGGTCCAGGACTTGAGCCGTGGTCGACTATGTGGAAGTCAAATGACGTAACCACTACGTCATCTGCTGGTCCCTCTCCTCCCTCTTTTGGCACTTACCAATTCCTTTTTCTTCCCTCATGGCAAAGCAATAAAATGCATTTATTGTAACAGATGAAAAGGCTAGAATGATCATATCAGAGGCAAAATTACATCATTTGAAACTATTCCTTTCATTATTTTAAAAGGGGAGTATTTGTTAATATTTTTACTGTATATAGGACATCCTGCTAAATACTATAGAATTAAGGCATAATACCAGTCCTCAGGAAATTTATTTGGGCAAAACAAATTTGATCAAGAGACAAAATTTATAAACAGGTAAACAATAATGAAATAATGCAGAATGCACGAAGTAGAAAATGATTACAGAAAAAGAATTATGTAGTTAGAGCAAGTACATACCCCACTTTGGTCTAGAAAAAAATTTATGTAGGAAGTAGTGTCTGATGTCTTTTGCATCAGACACCTCTCAGGCCTGTCCTAGGCTCTTTCTCTAGAAGGTCACAGCCCTTTCCCTTCACTAGATAAAATGCTGCTTACCTAGTAAGCAACTTGAACATTATCCTCTGTTTCAGACATGCAAAATGGCACTATTCACTACTATTTCCACAATGCTGATATATACTTTTTGTGCTTATTATTCTTACTTAAGTCCTTTACTCCTGTTCATTTATGTTCCCTTAGAGAGTGGGGACTACTTGTATTTTCACTGTATTGACAACATATTGCAAGTGTCTGGCATACAGATTTTTCAACATTTTTTTTGTTTTTGTTTTTTAGATGAGTGAAGAGCCAAGATGAAATTTGTTATATCAAATACTTGCCTAAAACTAGTTTCATAAATACTGATTCTTAAGTATTCATTTACCTCCTCCTTTCCCCCCCCCCCAATTCAGTTTTGCCAAAGGGAACCTGCATTTGCTGGAGAGAGACAGAGGGAAATCACCCACCAGGGGGGATGGCCATGCCACAATTCCTTTTTCTCCATTCTCCTCTCTGGGTTTTGGGCACCCAGGCACATACACTCAGACTGATTTTCAAGTCACCAGGTCTAGGACTTGAACCGTGGTCAGCCATGTAGGAATCTGGCTCCTTCACCAGAACACCGTCTGCTGGCCTCTTTACCTCTAATTGATTACCATTATTACCACTCTTTAGATCTAGGAAAATAAATTGCATAAATTGGGCAATTTCTAGAAGAAAGCCAGAAAAGTCTATTCTGACAGTTTATATGAAGGGTTGCTGGGAGAAGGGTCTATCCATTTTGAGAAAGGTTACGTTTTTCTGAGCATCTATGAATTATTTTTTCCTAAGAGAAATAAAATACTTGGAATAAAGACCCTTTAAATGGAAATGTTTCCTTTGAAAAAAATGGAAGTAAAATAAGATAGTGATTAAATATATTAGAAATGTTCTTGTCTTTTTTTTTTCTAGCCTAATAACCACCAAAACACATACCATGCAATTGGCACTGGGAAATAACTATTTCAGCTAGCTCTTTTAATTAAGCTGAAATGGCATGACTTCCCTTGCAGTTTATGTGATTATTCTAGAACTCATTACAAATAGTGTTTCTCAAAAACAATCAGCTTCACATTGCAAAAAAGGCCAATGAGTTAGCAAAATACTTTAAGAAAATATTATTTTATACAGTCAAGGATGAGAAGAAGTTGAGATTCTATTATATTTTTAATATACGACGAGAGCAAGTCTAAATACCCTTTCTGCATCTTAATTTGACAGTATTTTGATTTTCTTTTCTTTCCCTTTTTTTTTTTTCTTTTTAAATGCTTTGCTAGAAGGTACAAGCACTCACTGGAAAGAGAGAGGAGAGAGAGAAAAGGAGAGTGAGAAGGGGCATGGTCATGAAGCAATCCCTTCTCCCTTTCTTCCTTCCAGAATTTTGAGCACACACACAAAGGCACCTGGTACGCTCTTCAAGCTGCTGAGTCCAGGGCCCTAACGACACACTTGGTCATGTGGAGTCCAGTTTTCTCAAACACCACACCACTGGCTGGCCCCAGTATGTTTCAATGGCCTTAAAAATAGCTGTCCTTTAAAACCAATATTCCTCTTAAATAAACTACCTCAAGGAGATGATTAGTGATGTAATCTTATGGACTAAAGTAATTTTATCATAATATAAAAAACTTGGGACCAGCAGTTTGTGTAATGTCTATGTTGCTGGACTCCCATGTAGTCGACCGCGTTTCGAGTCCCAGACCCGGTGGCTTAAACTCAAGCCAGGCGCGTGTGCGTGCGTGCCCAAGATCTCAAGAGGAGAATGGAGGAGAAGGGATTGCGGCGTGGCCATCCCTCCTGGGGGGTGATTTCTCGTTTTCTGTCTCTCTGTCTCTGTCTGTCTGGCGAGCACACGTGCCCTATAGTGAAAACTTCTCAGAAAAAAAAAAAACATATATTTTAAAATAATGCTGCCACTGTGAATTACAAACTCAAAAAAATGACATTTTTAAGAATCTTTAATGAGGGGAAAATAGTCATGATACAATGTTATGTGAAAAAGACAAAATGCTATAAATCTATAATTATAGTAGTCACCCTTATCTAAGGGAGACATGTCCCAAGACCCTCAGTGGATGCCTGAAACCTCAGCTATTACTGATCCTTATATATGCATTTTATTTGATAACCAAAAAGGCTACTAAGTGAGTCACAGGTGATAGCGAATATAGTGTGGATATATTGGACAAAGGGATGATTCATATCCTGGGCAGGATGGAGGAGGATGACACTAAATTTTATCATGTTATTCAAAAGTACATGCGATTTAAAGTATTATTTCTGTAATTTTCCATTTAATATTTTTGGACCACACTGGACTGCAGGTAACTGAAATAATGAAGAGTGAAACTACAGATAGGGTGACTACTGTGTTCTAAATAAAAAGGATACAACATTATCTAAATGTATGTATGTTTGTGTGTGGCCTATATAACAGACTGAAAGGAAATACAATAAAAACGAACTGTCACATCTGAGTTCTAGCATAATAGGTGAATAACTATTGTTTTCTTTGTTTTGTAATTTCTAATTTTTTATCATGTATATGTGTAATTTTAAGATCAGAACAAGAATTAAAAATACTTTTTAAAAGAGTGGGTGAAAAAGTTGGGGGCAGCAGGTGGCATAGTGGCTAAGGCATTGAACTCCCACATGGCCAACCACAGTTCAAGTCCTAGATCTGGCAACTTGGAAATCACACTGGGCACATGTGCATGCACCCAAAATCTTAGGAGAATGGAGATGGAATTGTGGTGTGACCATCCCCTCTGGGGGGTGATTTCTCACTTTCTGTCTCTTTGTCTTCATAGAGTACATACATGCTATCGCAAAAACCTAAACATTTTTTAAAAAATAAAAGTGTGAAAAATATAAAGGCTATCCAATAGGATGACCAAGTTC